GTATTACTCACTAAGTCGTTTTCTCTACTGGCTTTTTCTTGGCTTCGTGTTTGCACCAAATCCAAGTCAACACTTTTTGCTTCCGCACGTCTTGCTCTCCGCGAAGAATGATGTCTCAGCATAAGACGAGAGCTGCGGTACGACTTTATGAAATAGGATACTATGACTTAATAATATTGTAATTTCTGGTAGAAATTTATTAATATTATTGCAGTACTATAACAAGTTTGAAAGGAGAGTTCTATCATCCTCTTCGCAGTTTCTCCCTGACCCTAAAGCAACTAGGCCATTTAAAATTTGCGTCTTTAAACTACCCACGAATTGGATAGTTGTGGGATTGTCGTTATTACCAAACCCGACCTGATGCCCCCAAATAAATTTTCCAACGCATTCTGATTTAAATTTCTGGATTTTAGTGATTCAATTTTTTTTTCTTTATCTAAATAACCCCACAATCCTCTAATAGCGTAGTAATCCAAGCAATCTGAGATGGTGGTTTATTTTTTAATAAACCTTTTTTGGTAATCTCTGACCATTTCAGAAGCCCTTTGCCAATACTGCATATGGGGAGATTTTTTGCTCAGTATACATTTTACTTCTTTTCCAGTAGGTGGGAACTTTGTACTGCCATTAAAGCTATCGAATAATTCATCTACTTGTTGAACAAAAGTAGCTGTAGCAATAGATCTTTGTTCCAATTCACCTAAAATAATAATAGGCGTTTTGTAATATAATATTAAACACACACATTAAACAGAATTATTGATTTTCTTAATACAATGGAAATTACTTACCTCTAGAAAATAACGTATACAAAAACGATGACACACTTCTACCTAAAATTTGACCTTAATGGCATATTTCATCTTAGGGTCCATATGATGTCCCTTAATTTTATGCATGCTCCTAAAAATTAACGGTGACAGAATCTATGTCGTAGGCCTTCCTAATATCGCTAAATTTTGCTTGCAGCACAGCATTTTGATGCGTAGGAACTTTAATTTCAATACAATGTTCATTTAAGCAAATGGGGTGGATCATATATATTGAAAATTTTCTGTCCTCCAATCAACATGTAAGGATTCTCTACTGACGATCCCAGTTGCTTCATTGCTTTTACATTATTTGTACCACAATCGTTAAATAAACAAACAATGGAAAGTTTTGCGATGTTCTGACATGCTTTAATGACTTCAATAATAATGTTTGCAAGTTTGATTCCAGACACCGCTTCATGAGAAAAATAATATGCGACTGGTTGTTTCCAGTTACAGTGCAGTCCTTTCACAATGAATACTAGTGCTTTATTAGCTACTACATTGTAGGAGGATTCAGCACTGATTTCTTCAAACTCTCTAATTCTGTCTGCATATGAATCATATTTAATATGTTCCTTGATGTCCATTTCATCCATCAAAATGGTACGTATCCGATCATCAACGTGTTTTAATGAATTGTCAATATGATGGAGCATGTGTTCATTGACTCCACTTTCAAATGACACCTGTTGAAGAAGTTTCAATAGTGGTTTTTTTATGGCATACTGACAATTTTTCTAAGTAAATTATAATATTTCGGACCTCTCTTCAACAGAGCCAATGCTACAACCTTTTCATCCTTTGTCCATATTCTTCCTTTAGGAGTTTTTTTGAACATCGGATTTGGGAAATTAAAAAGTTGGCTGTTGTGGATGGCAAATCTCTAAATAATTCCCTTACCACATCTGAGCTGCTTAATGCTATGAGCTCTAGATTTAGCCAGTTTCTTTAGACGTCTAATAGAGGTCTCCTTACTTTCAATAATATTCATTAATCTTTTTTTTTTAGTGGTGATGAATTTGTTGAAATAGTATCAATTCCTCTAAATATTGATCTAATTTTTTTAAACAATGCAACAGGTGTCTCTTGTATCCCTCTACTAGGAACTGCTTCTACTGGCAACTCAATTTCTGCCTCTCTCTCATATCTGAAATTAAATAAAAATAAATTATAACTTTTTTAAATAAATTATTTTTTTAAATAAAATGAAAAATAAATCAAAGCCAGTGTCACATAAGTTTATTTTTTATTTTATTTTATGTCTTGGTCACATTAATTAAATTTGTATCCAGATCAGTTAATTTTCATTATTTTGGTACATCAGTAATGTATGTAAATGTTTTATTGATATTTTAGCATTCGTTTTAAATTCAACTCATTAAAAACAATTAAGAATTGTTAATATCTTAAACTAAATCTTAAAAACTAGGAAAAAATTTAATCTAAGGCTATTACCTAGAACATATTTAAAGCTCATTACGTAAATCAGTAAAAAGTCGTTAGCAGTGGGTAATCAAGTTCTTCATTACCTTAAGTACCTACTATAAAATATGACTAATCTGGAAAAACTGCATCATAATCTTACTGAAATTAAGTTAATGGGTAATTAATAAAAGATCATCAACAAATAAAGAGATTATAGCATTATCTATAGTAGTTGCTAATATACGTAATTCTATTAAAATATTATTATTGCCAATTCTTGTAAATAATCTCATTATAATTTTATATTATGTTATATTTTAAAAGCTCTTGTTTTTATTATTCCTTATATTTACAGAAAAATAGAATTAAAAAAAAAATAACAAAAGTAGGATGTTCCTTAGTAACTTGCTTCTACCCTGTCAGGTATAGATTGTCCTTTGGTGGCAGGAATACATATTTTATACGATATTATCACTTTTTGATTTATACTATAAATTTCAGGAACATTCCATCCATTTATGGTCCTTAAACATTTTTTTAAAATTGTTTTTCTTGGCATGTAGGTGTTTCTTTTTATTATAAATATTACAGTTTTAACTCAAATTGTAAAAGTTTCGGTCTCTGTTTTGAGTATTCCCAGTACTTTTAAAAAAAATTATAAATTTTAATATGTGCTTTTCATAAAGTTAATAAGTTTATAGATTAAAAAAAAAAAGAAATATCTATAGGAAATCAATGCTGTACAAACATTTAACTTCCAGGAATAATGTCAATTACTACTTTTTTGATCCTATTTTATGTAAATACTTTTATTCTATAGAGGTGTTATTTAACATTAATTTTAACAACTTACTATCTCCTTCCACTGCATCAACGATGTTGAGATCTGCTGCTGACACTGCAAATTTAGATGGCACTGCAGTCGATTTTAACTTCCAACCAATTTCATTATCATAATCATTTCTAGTAAAATGATTACTACAGATGCTGTAGTTTCTCAAAGTTAAGGTGGAGCAGGTTAAACCTAAACTTTGACACCACTTTTGCACCTAAAACAACTTAAAATTAATAAAAAAAATGTATTATATAGGAAGTTTATGCATATATTTTGTAAAGTTCTCTACACAATAATATGTGTTCTTATATTATATATTTGTATAATAAATTGTATGTATTGCTTAACCCTCTGACTCCCAAAAGTGAGTAAAAATTGACCACCTCGTATTTACATAACCACATTTGGGATAAAAAAATACAACATAAAAACCTGAAAAAATTAAGAAATGAGGGCATAAAAATATTGTCAAAAACATCAATAATATGTTTGTGTACTAAATAGTCCGATTCTGAATAAAAATATTTAAATATTAGTTTTAAGGTTTTGTTTTGATTTTATTTTTTATTTCCTAGTTTGCATATTTCTTTTTACATTTTAGTTCAAGTTTTTTTTTATATATACAAAAATACATGTGCTATGGGGTGTAGTATTTTAGAGTTGACATTTTTACCCACCCTTGGGAATACTTTGAACCTATATAAACTTGATAGTTTAAAACATAATGAAATGAGCAAATATGAACTACTTACTTGTCAGTATTTCTTGTAAAACAGTGCATTTTCTGAACTTCCAAATTACTGCAACCACAAATTAAACAATAAACAACCATTGTTTTAAAAATTTCAAAAATAAACACTATCCAAACTTATTGAAGAACAAAATCAAACTCCGAGCAATAAACGTAAGCTCAAATTAAATCAATTAATAACTCAACTAAACACAATGCAGACGTTCATAATAGTGATGGGAAGACCCGGTTCATTTTGACGACCCGGGTCAGACAAGGTCAATCATTTGAATGACCCGTTCACAAAGATTCGTTCATATGAACGATATGACCAGTGAATGAGAATTTATTTATACATCGCCTATGATAGGGTGCGTTCACCAGACGTCAGCAGTTAACTTTAAGCGCTAAACGGCTGGGCATTAACATCCGGCAGCAGATGGAAATTGGCTGAACGCTCCGTTGACCGTTGGGTCTCTGTCATAAAACTGTCAGATTAGACTGTTGAACATAACCTTATAATTATTGGCTGATGCTGATCCTCATCAGAAAACAGTGAAAACACCAAACTGTAGGTTGACAAATTTTCTGTATTAGTTTCCATAATATGTACGTTTTAAAAATTAAAAAAGCACGCGCCACAATGAACTGTCATCTCACTGCGCATGTCTAAACATAAGTTGAGTCGAGCTGGGTGAAATTTGCAGCAGATGACATTCAGCGTAAAGTCATCGTGTCTGCCGAACGCGATCGCTTACTCAACAACTCAACTGTTGCCGTCTGGTGAACGCACCCATTTGTACATGCTGCGTTTGAAAATTACCTCGTTTTACTCTTTTTGCTCAAAGTCGTTCTTTTAATACATCTGTGGCTTCTCGATGGGATCTGCTCCGTGGTCTTTTAATGCAGAGCTGGTAAATCGACTAAGATCTATTTACTCCGAATTAAATTTTAGAGCTTTCCGAGTAAATATCATATCTGTGACAATTGAAGTATGTGATGGTCTGTGGTTGAAGTTATAGCTCTTTATTTTTCTATAATTTTTTTATACAGTCGTTTTTTTTGTGGCATATTATTTATTATTTACGATCGAGTTATTTACGTGTTTAAGAACAAAATGTCAGACATAAATGAGAAGAACATGGTTTATTTTGTAGTGAATTGTCAACTTCATGAAATTCATGTGGAAGATCAAGAAGTTGCAGAATTATTAAGAACCGGTGAGCAATCTTAAATTTTTCTTTAAGGTGGATTCATAAACTACGTTCAGTTCGCGCTCAGTTGCAGTTGGCAAGACATAACCACAAATTCCACAAAATAAAATTATTTTTTGGTGTTATTTTTGTTTTAATTATATTGGTAGATGGTGTTGGTTATAAAATAATTATGAATCTGTTATAACTTCTTATCCAAAACATACTTACCGTGTCATTTTGCTCTGTTTATGTTGAACTCGAACTGAGCGTGAACTGAACGTAGTTTATGAATCCACCTTTATCTACAATTAAATAAAAATGTCAATTTTAGATGAAGAAGCTGCACAACAGCATTTAAATAAATTAAACCACACTTCTAAGGAGTCTGCAGTTACAGGTTAGTTATTATTTATATAATATATTCAAGTATGGAAATCTGAACGTGGACCTTCTATTTTACAATGAATTGTACAAGGTAGGATAGATAATATGACTAAGCGTAAAACAAAGACCAATGAGTAGTGCATTACCCATTCTGTGGCCTTGCAAACAGTATGTGAGACTTCGGCCTCACGCCCACTTATTAGTCCTAGCCCAAATCCTAATAGATTTGGCTTGTATGGTCTACGTTTCAACATCAGAATCTGTATAGGTATATGTACTTTAACAACGTCTTAAAAAAACATTTGCCTTTATAAATAACGGTAAACTTGTAGATAATATTTTGTTTTCAGAATCAACAAAAGTGGACCAAAAACTATGGACAAATGAGGCAACTCTAATGTTAATATCATGTGTTAAACAATACAAAGAGGATTTGGAAAGTTGCCAAAAGAAGAGAATTTGGGAAAAAATTTCGAAAGAAATAAATGAAAAACTTATAACAAATTTTACACCCACGCAAGTGGACACCAAATGGAAGGGGTTGGTTAGACTGTACAAGGACATAAAAAAACATAACGACACTTCTGGCAAAAATAAGAAATCGTGGAAATATTGGCTTCTCATGAATGAGATTTTGTTTAATAAGCCAGAAATTGTAGCTCCAGCTACATGTTCAAGTAATAAGGGACTTATTGTCAATGTTCCTGTTGAAAATATTCAAGGTGAACAACATGGAACTAGCTTTCAGAATAAAAGAAAAGCAAAAAGCAATTCGATTGAAAAAAGGCATCATGATAAAATGCTGAGAATTGATAATTTGAATTCTTCAATTCAAGAATTAATTAGTGTAATAAGAGAGAGAAAAAGTACTGAGTAATATGTTACATATTTTCATCAGAATGATTTTTTTTTATTGTTATAGAGTGTTTTTTTTTTATTTATTATAGGTATTTAGTATTGATCTCAATAAATATTTTCTATTTTTATAATCAGAGTGTTTTTTATTTTATTATATTTTGTTAGTTTTTTTTTTATTTATTACTCATAGGTATTTAGTTATCCATCTTAATAAAAAATCTATTTTTTTTATAATCTGTGGTTTTTTATTTAATATTTTGTTAGTTTTTTTGTTTATTATAGGTATTTAGTTATTGATCTCAGATTTTTTATTTGTAGTAAAATAAAACCATTTATAAACATTTTCAATATTTTATTTATTACATTTACACTAAATAATAATAGCCTTTATTGCCCAACAGATTTATAAAATCCCTTTGACAAGTAAATAAAACTGCAATAAAAAATGACAATACCTGTTACAATATATGAAAAACAAAGTTAACACAAATATACAATCGTCCCTATTTTGTAGCACAAATAGAGATAAATCTAAATGAATAATTTTTATATTAGGGCCACCAAAGATTAAAAGATCTGCATAATGTAAGATCCATCTCAAGTTGCTGTAAATATTCAAGAAAGCCTAATAAAAATGATACACCTACAATGAATTAATTATTTCTTAAAACAAAATTCATTATGTTTTCCCTTTTTTCAATAGCTGGCTGATTATCTCTTTCGTCGTCGTCGTCATCATCATCATCATCATCATCATCATTTTGTTCATTGAATTCTTCAATAGGATCATCAATGAAATCTCTTCTGTCTAATAAAACATTATGAAGAATACAGGCACAACAAATTATTTGTGGAATAAAATCTACACGTTTTGTTTCTAAAAACTTAAGTCTTCGAAATCTTGATTTTAAGAGCTCAAACGCATTTTCAATGACAACTCTGTTTTGGTTAATCATTTTGTTAAATCTTCTTTGCCTATCTGTTAAATTGCCATTATTTTTAAACCCTACTAGTACATTGGTTGAGAGTTTATAAACCAAATCTCCAATTAAATGGCAATCATTTGGAAGTTGAATTTCTCCTTGTCTAATTCGCTCATATATATCGGACTTATAAAAAAGTCGTTGGTCGTGTATACTTCCTGGTTCTCCAGTGTATACATCTAAAAACCGTTTTTTTTGCATCACATATCCCTTGTAATAGTACTGAAGCATAACCTTTTCTATTAGTATATGAGTTTCCATTTATTTTAGGCTTTTCAATTTTAATATGGCACCCATCAATAACTCCAACAATACCTAAAAATATAGAAAAATTATAAATTAATTACATGAAAATAAAATAAGGCAACAATTACCTGGAAACCCATTTATTTGTTCAAAATCCATTATATTTTGCAACATTGCATTTCGATTTGGAAAAAAAATAATTTGGTTTGCTCTGTTCACCCTCAGAATGTCCTTGCACAGTTTATAAAATGTAGACCAGCAGCATTGTTTAATTAGCCAAATCGCCAAGCCACACTCCTTAAATATTTCAAGTATTAATTAAGTACACTAAAGGCCTCTAAGTCTATTTACCTGAAAGATTCCATGTTTACCAAATACCATAAAAAACATAACAGTCCCTTTTCTAATGGAATTTCAGGTCTTCCCACAAGCGTTTCATGCTCTTCCTGTTGCTGTAGCAACTTACCAAACAACCAACCAAAAGATTCTCGGCCCAATCTAAAATGTTGCTTGAATTGGTTATCATTAAAATTGGGTACTGTCACTTCAAAAAAGTTATGTTTTTTCTAATATACTCTCATTTTCATCATCTTCATCTTCCAATAGTTCACCTACCACTATACCCACTGCACTTACAACGGCGACAACTGCAGCTGTCTCTTCTAAATCCATGTTAGAAGAACAAAAAACAACTGGAAGCAAAAAATAACAACTAAAAATTTACTTTGCAACTACCAACAAAAACCTCGAAACGAGCTAGATCAAATGACAGATGATCAAATTTGATTTAAAAGAAAGGTTATGTTTGTTATTTTAATGGAAACCGGAAACGGGAAACACAAACAAATCCATAGCCGTTCTTTTATCCACATTAGCTCAATTTGCTCGATGATCACGTGACTAAAAAATCTACTAGCTCTACTCCGCTCCGTGAGGTACTTTTCAAACGCAGCAACAGTACGCGTTAATGGTAAGACCCTGTCGGCTCTTTTTATGAACCGGATCATAATGGTTACAGTCTCGTCTCATATCAGTTTATTGTTGAACATTCGTAATTCGTAATAGATATCGATTGATACAGATTTATAATTATTCTCCGCCTATGTAGTCCGGACCTGTCACTCAATACGCACAAGATTTTAAAGACGTAAAATAAACAAACTACATACTCTCTTCCCCGGTACCCGTTGCTTCCTCTTAACTGTTAGTCATTCGGATTCTTGTGCTCGACGCATTGACACGTACGGTACGCTATCAGAAGTTATCGATTTGGGCAGTTCGGGGTTGCCGCGTGAACTTGAATTGCACGATAATATAATATAAATAAAACGCGTTAGTGCTATTATAGTGACATTACCGTTGTGTTTTCGTGTGTGATGGGGAAGAGAAGGAGGTGCCCAAGGTCCAGTTCTGAGTCAAGCGATATTATTGGCTCAGATGATCTTTCTTTAGTCTTAAAACATTTAAAGAAAAAAGTTAGGAACAATCGAAGACAGCGATCTCGATTTCGTTCCCCTGACAAAAAACGTGGTCGCTCACATTCACGTTCATCTAAAAAAAGTGATAATTCTGTAGTACGCAAGCCTCGAAGACGTAGAATTATTTCATACTCGTCTTCATCCGAGGAAAGCATAAACGAGCCACAGCCTGTTATAAATTGCGACAGAGACCGAGACCGGTGTGCATCGGCAAATGTCGCAGGTGAAGGTTGTGCACAGCGAGGTACAACAGCTTCACTAAGTTCCGACTTCATCAATACTGAAAAGAACGAGGAAAGTACCTCTCAAACACCTATATCAGAAGGTTTTTTGAATATATTCGGAGAGGATCCACATCACAAAAATGATGAAACGTTTGATCTTCATCCGGCTATTGCTTCAAGATGGCAATTCATAATTCAAAAAGGCTTGACAAGTGAACAAAGTGTCGAAATAAATTCCAAATATCAGAAACCTTCCAATTTACAATTGAATCCCCCTGATATAAACCCCAAGATTGCCAGTATAATGTCTATGGCTCATAAAAATAAGGATAACAGCTTGGTTTAGCCTTATTAACCTTAGGACATAGCCTTGGGGAGCTTATTACTACGGAAAATAGCAACAGCAAGATAGTGGACCCACTTTGGGATTCGGCGCGAGTGTTAGCAAACACTTTCCATGAAATCACTGAAAAAAGAAAGCAGTTTATTTTGCCGTTGGTTAACTATAATATGAAAGTCATCTTAGAACAAACAGAAACTACAAAAGAATATTTATTTGGAGATAATTTGACGGACAAAATCAAAGCGGCCAAGTCCATCGAATCTACAAGTAAAAACTTAAAATCCTTCACTATTAACAGGTTCACCCAATATCAACCTCGAAGGCAGGGAGGCGTAATAAACCGAAAACCGACAACAGCGGCGCAGGGCACCAGTGTAAGTACGACTAGACCATCAAGACCGACTTTAAACGAATATCGCCCCATCCGCTATCCGAGGGAAGCGAGACAGACCGCCAGGGGCCAACAAAAACCCTCGAGGGAACGTTATCGTCGCAAATATTAGAAGCAGAGGTAGGAAATTCACACCAGGCAGGTAGACTTAGACTATTTATAAAAAATTGGCAACGTATTACCAATAATCCTCTAGTTTTACAATGTGTCAAGGGCTATAAAATACCAATGAAGGGCGTACCAATAAAAGGGTCCCCTCTTTTTTGTAAAAAATATAGTTTAAAAGAAAAAGAGGATTTTCAAAATCATATTACAGAGCTGGTAAAGTTAGGTGCTGTAGTAAAATGTTCATTAAGAAAAAATCAATATGTTTCACCAATTTTTCTAACCCCAAAGTCTAATGGCTCTAAAAGGTTCATATTAAATTTAAAGAAATTTAACGAATTCGTAATAGCTCCCCACTTTAAACTAGAGGATACCAGAACTGTATTAAGACTAATTCAAAAGGACTGGTTTATGGCAACAATTGACTTAAAGGATGCTTACTTTTCTATACCAGTTCATAAAAAATATAGAAAATTTTTAAGATTTTCCTTTAACGACAGCCTTTATCAATTCACGTGTCTTTGTTTTGGACTGGCATCTGCACCTTATGCCTTTACAAAAATTTTAAAACCAGTTTTACAATTTTTTAGAAATTTGGGCATCATAGTTGCTAATTATCTAGACGATTTTTTAATTATGGCACCTTCATTTTTAGAATGCCAGAACAATGTAAATTTTGTAGTTAAGCAATTAAAATGCTTGGGATTTGTCATTAATAATGTTAAGAGTAATCTTAAACCCACTCAAATATGCAGATTTTTGGGTTTTATTTTTAATACCAAAAAAATGATATTAGAAATACCTTTGGAAAAAAGAGAAAAAACAAAAATAATGTTAAAACGGATAATTCCCGGGAGAAAATTAAAAATTAAAGAATTTGCACGTTTGATTGGGACACTAGTTTCGTTATGCCCGGCTGTGAAATACGGCTGGCTATATACAAAACGACTAGAACAAGAAAAATGTAGAAACTTAAATAAAAATAATCAAAATTATGAGAATACCATGATAATTCATAATAACATAATACCCGATATTTGTTGGTGGTTAAAAAATATTGACATTACATATAACAACATAAAACAAGATAATTATGCGCTAGAAATATTTACAGATGCTTCTAAAACAGGTTATGGAGCCTGTGCCCAGGGTCAGCGAAGCCATGGGTGGTGGACGGAAAACGAGGCAAATAACCATATTAACTTTCTAGAATTAAAAGCAATATTTTGGGGTTTAAAAACTTTTGCTACTAATTTAAAGCATTGCAATGTCTTAATAAGAAGCGACAATAAAA